ATTGTTGTTGTTGTTACGATTATTATTATTATTATTATTATTATTACTATTATTTTTATTATTATAATAATAATAATTATTATTATTATTGTTATTATTACTATTATTATTATTGTTATTGTTATTGTTATTATTATTGTTATTATTATTATTATTATATTGTTATTGTTATTATTATTATATTGTTATTGTTATTATTATTATTATTATTATTATTATTATTATTATTAAAATACTAAGCTTGGCGTGTTTTTTGTGTTTGTCATGTATGTTTATAGGATTCGGAGGTTGAAGAAGGCGGTGACGTTGTGAATTACAGTGCAAATTTTGTGACAGACATGGTTTTTTGAACGTTTGAGGATGCAGTTAAATGGGCGGATGCTGTTGCCATAAATCTGGGATTTATTTTGGTGAAATCATCTTTCAACAAAACTAGAGATGGTTGACCATATCGGTATGTGAGATGTGATCGGGGACGCAGGAGTAAGCCGAGAGATCTTGAGAACGCAATTTGGAAGGACACAAAAACCAAAGCCAATGGTTGTCCTTTCTACATCAAGATATACTACGAGTTCATCACCGACAGTTGGATTATCCGGGCGAAAAATGATGAAACTGGGACCCACAACCATCCAATGATTGCGTATCTAGAGGGGCATCGTAAAATCAGTGGGTTGAGCCCGGATGCGAAGCAGGTTGTGCGTGACATGACGAAGTCTAAGGTTGCACCGCGTAACATCATGGCTACTATTGCCGAGCAATTTTCTGATGATCATCCAAACATCAGACACATCTACAACTGCCGGAATGACTTGAGATCGGAGATGTTTGACGGGAGAGGAGTTGTTCAGCAATTTCTACATTTGGCGAGACAGAGTCAGTATCTTTACTGGGTCATGTCTGATGATGATGGCGTTTTACAGCACGCCTTTATGGTGCACCCAGTCACGGTAGAAATCTTTCGGACGTACCCATATGTGATCGGTATGGATTCCACTTACAAGACCAACCGATACGGGATGCCGTTCTTTGAGATAGTTGGTGTGACACCGACAAATCAGAATTTCCTCGTTGCTTACGTGTTCATGCGCAACGAGTGCACGACAAGCTATCGATGGGTTTTGCAAAGATTGAGAGTCTTGATGGGGTATAATAAGGAATCGTCGGTTTTGTTGACAGATCGTGAGCTTGGGCTATGTGCGGCCTTAAGGGAAGTGTTTCCAGGGACCCCGCACTTACTTTGTCGATGGCACATTAACAAAGATGTGGAGGCTCGGGTCTCTGCTATGTTCAAAAATAAGAAGATCGGTGCGACTTTCAAAAATGGGAAATGAAAATGTATCATGGATACTGCAACCAAGGAGGATTATGATGCTGTTGTAGATATAATGAAAGATCGGTGGGCAAGTTATCCAGCGGTGATACAATATGTTGAGAGAACATGGCTTTGTCATAAAACGAAGTGTTCTGTTGATAACCTCCATGGACCGACCCATCCATTGCAATTAAAAAAACAACATATTAAAAAATTACAAGTATTTGTAGTGATAATTATAGTACCAAAAAACACAAGTACTACGTAATCCGTATTAGTTCTCTCAGGCAGTGCACGACTCCCATGTGATGATGCAACTGGAGAAACAAGAGGATGAGAAAATCGGTACAGCCATTGCATGTAACCAGGACCGACCATAGAAGCACCACCACCAAGTCTGCTGAGGGGACCTAACACCACACTGAAAGACGCACCAGGGACAAACCGAGTCCACATCACAGATATCATCTCTGGCGGAAAGTCTACTCGATACATCTTCAAGTTCGTCAGTCTCTTTGCCTTCTCAGGCCTGTTGATGGCTTGTGGAATGTCCTGGACGTATCCAAGTTGTCGAACCACTTGATCAGGCATATTTGGCTCAATGATGCTACGGTACTGGATGCAGCCAATGAATAGAGTAGCAGGCACGCGTCGTGCTGGATCAACTCCGTACGGTAGCCAGTTAATCTCATTGTCAGTCAGATGATCTAACTTAACATGAAAAGCGAGGAGGCTCTCCATGCTCTTGTTGGGGCACCCCGATTCGACATCCCAGGTAGACGCACGAAGAACAGTAAGCTCTCTGGTCAAGGTCCCCTGTTAAGGCCGAAAACACGGAAAGTACTCGTAGATCCACGCCTGCAGAAGCGTAAGAAAACCAGCGATAGAATCAGCATCTTTTCGTGATGCTGTACCCAACTGCCGATACATATATGTTAGCACAGCAGAACCCCAGGAGTACTCACTAATCTGAACATCCTCAACAAAAAGCTCGTTGAGGAAGGAAGGATAAATACAGTTTCCACTCTTGTCCAAAAACAAACATCTGCCAAGTACTAACCACAAGTACGCCCTGTAATGGATACTGAAGGGCCTCTGCGCCTCCAAGTTCGACTCCATTATCCTCTCAGTCAGCACCCCGCTACCCTGCCATACGGTTTTAGTACCGCACTTCTCATTCAGCTCTTCCGCAGTCATATCCATGGTAATCGAGCACACGTCCCGTAAAACGTCCGTGCTAGGAGTAGTGGAAACCATGGAACCATAAACACGAAGCCCTAGAATATGATACACATCATGCAGCATGATCGTGATCTCCCCAAATGGCATGTGAAACGTGTTCGTGTCTGGTTGCCATCTCTCAACAAAAGCAGAAATCAAGGGCCAATCAAATCGCCTGAACATGATCCCGGGTAGGTGAGATAGACCACTGCCATCAATCAGTTCCAGTTGCTCCTGCGCAAGACGACCTCGCCAGTTACCCAATTCAGAACACAATTGTGTCCTGCTCAAACACCGCAGAACATTTCGCTCCTGCCCACCCCATATATATGCAGCTACGTGACCCCCAAAACTAGGAATAACAGTACCATCCTCAGGCCCACCTGGCATCAGCTCCTGTACTACCCATGTCTCTGATGAGCTAGTAGAAGGTTGACCAGGCTCACTACTACCAACAAATCCCCCATGTTGAGCCCTATACACGGTCCTATAATCCTGAGGGTCGTACTCTAAATCTCGATCAACATGACTAGCTCGCTCGCTCGCTCATCGTCCGATGAAGGCACTCTATCCGACGAGTACATGGGGCGCTCCCATCTGACTGATGCTCCCCCGACCAAGTACCAGCAGACCCGTACTGCTGCTCATGATGAAACGGTGCCTCCGAAGGTCCTGCACCACCTAACTCCCTCCTAACTGATGCATTCAAACGTCTTGATCTTGCATGTCGAGCACCCGAACCCTCAATCTACATTAAATAAGTACAAAATCAGATTACATTAATACTTACACACACAACTATGATATCAAAGTTGAATCACTAATATTCAAATTCAAAAATATCATTTCAAAACTATAATAAACCAAATCAAATAAACAATAATAACAACATTACCAAGGATCAATAATAACTAATAATAATTTGACAACAATAACAATAAACCAAACCAAAACAATAATAAACCACAAAATCGGCAACATTACAACACAACAACAACAACAACAACAACAACAACAACAACAACAATAATAACAATGGTAATAACAACAACAATAATAACTTCAATCAATTTTTTATAAAATTTTAATCACGAAAAAATTACATAACAACAATACAAACAATAACAACAAAAACAATATAATTATATTAGTCAAAAAAAAAAATTACATATCAATAATCATGAGGAAAAAAAATTCCAAAATTAATAAAAACCATAATACATAACAATTACACATAACAATAACAATAAAAACAATTAAAATTATATTACTCAAAAAAAATTACATATTAATATTCACGCGGAAAAAAAAATTTCGAAATTAATAAAAAACATATGCATAACAATAACAATAAAATAAATAAAATTATATTACTCAAAAATAAAAATAAAATATTAATCACGAAAAACATGAAAACAAAAAAAAAATTCGGAAAACCCAGACTTCCGCCTGAAAAATCCGGAAGTCTGGGGAAACTTGTGAGAAAATTTGAGAGAGAGAGAGAGAGAATTTTAGAGAGAGAGTGTGTAGGTTGTGAAATGACTTGTGAGTTTCGAAAGTGAGTTTTCCGAGTATTTATAAAGGAGGGGCAAATTAGGAAATTCAAGAAAACAAAGCGAGCGTCACCTTGTAATTTGTGAACGACGTTTAACAACACTCTTAGAGTTTTCTAGACAAATATATTATATGGTAATCTATAAGATTTTTCTAGATTAATCTTTTTAACATCATGATGTGCATTCGGTAGTTGGTTTCCATTTTTGAGTCTGCAAAGGGGATATTGCAATTGGTTTCTTAATTGGGCATGTACAAGGTTTCAAATTTCAGAGTTTTCACCTCAACATCAGAATGGTTGATTGTGTCTGAATTTTTTGCATCCATTATTGTTGCACTACCTTATACGGAATTACGGAGTACGTTGAGTTTATGATTTAGCTTTACTGCTTTAGTCTTCTCATCTTCTGTTCTGTTTCTGTTTTTTTTCATTTATTTTTTTTTTATTTTTTGGGAGGGCTACTTTCTTTACCTTCCACCAAAAAAAGCTCAATACAAAATGCAGTGAGTTACAATATATGGAGTAAGTGAGTAACAGGACAGTGGGAGTTTTTTTTATTTTTGAAGAAAAAAAAAATAATAAAAACAAAAAAAAAAAAAACCCTCAGTAATAAAATTTTATGCAAGCAACTGTATGAGACATTAATCTTCAAGGCAGGACTAAACACTAAAGTAAGGACAATGATCATTACAATTTCAAAATCTTATAAGCAAATACTTCGTACAATACTAGTCATGGAATGGGCCATACACAAGAAAATAAAAAATAAAAAAATCAATCTGATAACAGAAGTTGATTTTTTTTTTTTTAAATCACAAGACAAAAGTCCTATGTTACCCATGCTTTTAATGCGAAAAATGTTCAATTTCAACAAAAAAAGTAACAAAACAAAAGTATTTTTTTATTTTAAAAAATTAAAAGTACTTACAAATGTTAAGATAACACTTGGCAAAGTATAATTCTACCAAAGTGCCATACACATGCTGTCAAGTGTCAACATTCTCCTATCTCTTCCCAATCTTCCGGACAATTCTCTACTCTTCATTATTCTCAAACCCGTTTATCTTCAATTCAATATTTTTTCAGTTTCAAATAAACGTATCATTTAGTTTCAAAACTGATGTAATTTGTGTGATTTATAACAATAATCACATTTAATTACCAAAGCTGTTTTTAAACGTTTTGTTAATCTCTTTGTTGTTTTCCTGTCATACTATACCTCTCTTATTACCTTACCAACTTATAATCACACATGGTATGATCACAACAATATCCTTCTTTTTCTCATCTTGGACACCTCTTGTTATACATTCAATTTTGTCGATTTCGAACTCGTAGTATGATTTGATTGGATTATATTATTAGAAAGATTGTTCCTTTTGGTGGTGGGTTTGATTTGATTGGATTATATTGTTAGAAAGATTGTTCCTTTTAGTGGTGGGTTTGTTATGTTAGTGTGAATCATATTGTTGTACATTATAGGGGACACCCATTTTTAGGTGATCTCATTTTGTGTCGTGTTTGTGTTCGTGTTTTGTTGAGGCTCTGAGGCTCTTATGGATCAAAGGACGGTTTTGATCAATGTGATAGAACCAACTAGTCTATATTCATAAACCCGGATGCCAAAATCCCAAATTTTTGGCCATTTGTTTTGAGGTAAAGATCCAATTATAGGAAAGAGCTTGTTCTGATTAAAATGCAGGTAAGGATAATGAACGGCGATAATGGGAAAGACGCCGTAAGTTGTGCTAGAACTGTCCCAAACAAATCTTGGTCATTCAAGATCTTGTACTTTATTTTGATATTCTTTGTTCTTGGTCTTGGAGTTTGCATATTAAGTATGAATATGATCAGGTATCTTGGGTTGCGAAACATGGTGTTGAGAGAATCGTCGAGGTTAGAACCTTGCGATGATGCTACAAATACTCTAGAATGCTGGAGAAAACCGCCTTCTAATCTTATGCATAACATGAATGATACTGAGTTATTTTGGAGAGCTACATTTGCTCCTCGAATTCAAGAGTATCCTTACAAGAGGGTTCCGAAGGTTGCATTCATGTTTCTGACAAGGGGACCTTTGCCGCTTTCACCTCTTTGGGAGAGGTTTTTTAGAGGCAATGAGGGACTTTATTCCATCTATGTTCATTCACTGCCTGGCTATAGAGCAAATTATTCCCGTTCTTCGGTTTTTTATGGCAGACAGATTCCTAGCCAGGTATACAATACTTTCTCTGAGTTTGTTAGTCCTGTTTATTAATGTGGCATCAATGTTGATTGTTTTAGATGCTTTTGATATCGTCTTATAGTATCGTTGTTCTGATTATCTGAAGGCAACAGCTTAGTATGTTCTGTTTATCTGAAGGCATTAATTTACTTGTTTTAGTTCACAGGCTCAGACTAATGTTATTTGAGTTTCTGGCAGCTATAAGTTGTAATTTACATTTTTAATGCATTAGACAAGGACTTTTAAAGAGGGGCAAAAAAACAGCTTAAATAGCTTTTTGAACCAAAGATGCTTGTAATGTTCTGGATTATTTATTCCTATACTAGGCTACTTTCATTGAAGGGTCCTGTGTTTCGTTATACCATGATTCTGCCTGTACCTGAGAACCTCTCAAAAAGTCGAAAGCAGAAATTCTGCAGTCAATAAAGCTAATGTGAAAGATTGTTCCTGGACAGGAAGAATGATTTATCTAACAGAAACTTTAGTATTAAGTTGGAATGTAATAGTTTCCAGTTTTGACACTTCAGATTTGGGTATAGGACAGTCAGTTTCAACGGAGATTAAGTTCAGTACTTTTTAGGGTCTTACTGAACTAGTCCTCTGTCCAAATTGATGTACAATCTTACTATTTAGGATGTCCGGAAAAAAGCTGTTGTTTTAACTAGAACAACGGTTTATGATTGAATATCCTTCATGATACATCCTCCTTAGTTATGAGAGGTTGGGTTAATGTGACAACTATTTCATATGAAGAGTGTATACTGTTAAAAATGCTCTAAGGCTGAGCAATATCTACCAACACCAGACAAACTATAGTGGAGTAAACAAAAATAGGGGATGTTTTAGGCAAGGATTAGTTTGTTCACTTTGTTGTAACTTACATTTACTTGGACTAATCACTATCATCAACTCGTCAACCAAATTCTGTGGCACTGAAGTGAACATCAAGATCAATTCAACACTAAGTAATGCAGAATTCGTGCAGGGAAAAAAATTTAGGGCTGCATCTTTGAAATAACAGAAATTAAACCTCTGTTCTGCTATTACTTTCAGTTCATTTAGGACTGTTTTTAGTGTGGTTACTAAAAGTCTGTGCTGGTGAACGTCACATTTTAAGTATAAGTGATACAGATTGACAGATGTTACTAGAAGTGCATGCTGTGAAAAGAATTTCTTGAACATGTTGTACAAGCATCTTTCTCATAGGAGTGTTCTGGTTATTGTTTTTTCAGGTCACAGAGTGGGGGAAGATGAGCATGTGTGATGCTGAGAGGAGACTTTTGGCAAATGCGTTGCTCGATCTGTCCAACGAATATTTTGTTCTGCTTTCAGAGGCCTGCATTGCTACCCGTAACTTCACCATTGTTTACCGTTACATTTCAAAATCTCGTTACAGCTTTCTAGGCTCCTATGATGAACATGGACCCTATGGAAGGGGGCGATATGACAAGCGCATGGAGCCTGAGGTCACCCTCGAGCAATGGAGAAAAGGTTCCCAATGGTTTGAGGTTAACCGTGAACTTGCTCTCCGGATTGTAGAGGACAAAGTTTACTATCCAAAGTTCAAGGAATTCTGCAAGCCTGCTTGTTATGTGGATGAGCACTACTTCCCCACAATGCTAACGATCCTAGTTCCACATTTGCTAGCAAACCGAAGCCTTACGTACACAGACTGGTCTAGGGGCGGACCCCACCCAGCTACATACGGCAAGAAGGATATTTCAAAGGAGTTCTTTGACAAGATATTAGGAAGGCGAATGTGCTTCTACAACCATCGCCTCGTCTTTCTATGCCAGCTTTTTGCTCGAAAGTTTGCACCCAGTGCTTTAGAACCCCTTTTGAGCTTGTCATCTGAAGTTTTTGGATACTGAAATAGGGAATAGAGACTGCTGGTACCTAGAAAATGTTACAGTAACATGCTTCTGAACCAACTGTGTTTTGTTACTCCTGTGGATACAAGCTTACCCTTTTTCGGGGAAAAGTGAATATGTAGCAAAACTCTAGATTACACGCTTCAACAGGATGGTTACATACATGTATTTAAACATTTGATGCCTATATATAGAAGAGCCTACATACACTACATCATGAAAAAAATTATTTGTTCTAAAGCTTAATGAGATGGTTAGGGTACAAGTAATAACTTGCCAATCGTTCTTTTCCTGAACTGGATAGATAACAATTAGATAAATGCTGAGCTAAATTTTATTTAAAAGCTGAATTTACTGCAGAATAAGCACCCGCATTGGACCACATTTCATGTGCGTCTCAAAATGGATTACAATTCATCATGACGAGTTCTATCATGTTCGAGGTTTTTTATCCCCTTTTCGAGAAGGTATCTCACAGCCAGTGAGGCGTGAAGAGATGCACCATAAGGAAGCACATTTTCGTTAAGAACAAACAACGGGTTATGCTCTGAGCCTGTTCTGCCTAGCGTCTCATTTTGCAGACCAACAAAGAACAGAAGTCCTGGATTACTTCTTGATAATGTGCAAAATCCTCAGATCCAGTCAGGGGCTTGGCCTCTTTCACATTATGAGAGCCAATCATATCTGTTGCAACGCTACTGAAGAGCTTATGCAAGTTTTCGTCATTAATGGTCGGTGGGTATGTGACTCCAGCATCAAAGAAATCGATAGTTGCAGTGCACCTTTGTACAGCAGCTTGGCTTGTTATAACCTGTAATGTAATGCAAATATTAGATGGGGATGATAGCTTGCAAATTAATTACCATGCATCAGACAATCAGAAAAGCACTGTGCTTAAAAAGTGCAATATACGAATAGATCTTCAATCCTTTCGTGGACTTAAAGAAATACCTGGAATGGTGCCCAACAACTGATGGCATTTATGCAAAAGTCCCAAAATAAAAAAACAAAACAAAACAAAACACAGCCAGACACAGACACGCACACTGGATTAAAGACCGTTTGTATACAATCAACACTAGCAAAGTACCGGAGATGATAAAAAGTATTTTTATTATCTTGTAGAGTGACCCACTCAAGGCAAAAATCAGCATTCACTAACTAAATTGTATTTCAAGAAAGCAAGAATATCAGAACCTGGATACAGTACGTATTAATGTAATAGAATATCATCTAGAGAAGTTCAGGACAGTGTCATGTTATGTTTATAATATTATCTACAAAGTATTAATTACTCTGGCCCTCAAGGTCTGTCTTAGCCATATGAGCACACAAAAATAATATTAAAATAAATAAATAAAAGCTTGTAACGTTATTGTTTAGTTCACTATTATCTTCTGAATACCTTATATGAACGTAAAGGTGCCCGTTGTTCTCAATGATGAAAATGTAGGTCAAAACAAAAAAATGATCCCAAAGAAATTATTATCAACACAGAAAGGCCAATAGAGTATTATACCTCTCCAATTCTTTGTTTAAGTCGTGTAAGGCTTTCCTTTAACAAGGCTCTGAATGTACCACCAATAGTGACAGAATCCGGTATTACATTGAATGCAGCGCCTCCTTGGAACTTCCCTACTGTAACAACCTGCACAAGAAAACCTAATTTTCAAAAATATATGGGAAGAATACTACAGTAGAAGATGATATACCTCCACAGTGAGTATGACAGCAGAAGAAACAGACGGAATAACTTTCAGTTAGAATACCAAAGGAAGACCTCATTTCAATAGCTGATTAACTTTAAACACTTCAATAAAATAATATATTTTCAATGGATAATAAAATAGAAAAAGGAAGAACATCTTGATATTCTGATGCTCATAGTTGAGGGCTAGAGGACTATAAATTATAATTGTCCGAACCACTCATCAATATATGCTAACTAATTATGCCTTCTAATCTCAATTATTCCCACACAAGTTGGTTAGACTGAAAAAGATATAAAAATTTAGCAAATAAGTATATTCTCAAATACTATCTGAAAATTCATAGATCACTATACTAATGGGAAAAGTTATAATTTAAGAAGCAAACACAGGTGATTACCCTGATAACAAAGCCCAATCTAACAATTAAAACTAAGTGGTAGTTAAGAAAACAGATTATTTGAGAATCAAGGGGATCAGTTTTACTAAGAAGCAAATACAGGTGGCTACCTAATAACAAAGCCTAATTTAACAATTGAAACTAAGCGCTAGTTAAGAAAACAGATTACTTGAGAATCGAGGGGATCAGCTTCACGAGAAACAATATGCTGTAAGCTAACAATCACATTCGAAGCTGCCAATATGGGGTCTACTGAGTGATGAGGAATAGCAGCATGACCACCTTTTCCAGTAATTACAGCTTGAAAGAATCCACTTCCGGCCAAGAGTGGACCAGGCCTGGAGGAAACTTGACCAACAGGTAAGCCAGAATTAACATGCAAAGCAAATATGGCTTCAACATTCTCCACTGCTCCTGCCTCGATCATTCTCTGGGCGCCGCCATATCCCTCCTCTCCTGGTTGAAAAACCAAAACAACTGTTCCCTGCAGTTTTATGAAAGGGAGCAAAAGGCATAAGACTTCAGGGAACTAAATAAGTATTAAGATTTAAGAAGACTGCTCTAATTCGTATATCGAAATCTTCATCATTGAAAACAGGTAGCTGCACACCAGTAATAAAATATCAATTAATTACAGTGCTATGTCATTTGATTGCACTGGTCAAAATAGGTTAGCCAATTTCTGCCCCAAATTTATACAGCATTCTCAAGAAAGCACACAAGCAGTACATTTAACATTTTTACAGTCAATTTCGAACAGATGATAGCGAAAGCACCTTTTCACAAGAAGATTCTCAAAAGTTGTCTGTCCAAACAACCGAAAATGATACCAAACTATAGTCAAGTAAGTCAATTCCTCATGCCTATCTAACTGCTTATAGTCAACTCAACTATATGATAGTTTGGACAACTTGGTTCTTGTAATTAGTTAACATGTCATCCAATTAACTTAAGGACAGAACAGATATTTTTTCACAAAAGTAACATGCTATTTTCTGTGGAATTGCTTTTAAAGCTTAGAAGAAAATCCTTAACTGCACAGAAAAAAGAAAGATTTTACTACGTACTATAAATAATTCAATTTACTTTAGGAGCTACTGCATTGCCCTGCCCCTGAAGAGCCATTGAACGCTTCAAATTGGCCACACAATTAGGCCACATAATGGAGATAAATATATGTCATATTGAGCATCAACACATTTATAGCTACATAATTCCACTATTTACAGCATCAAGTCGATAATCCGCATAAAATGAAGCTATTCAATGAGGACGGATGAAACTGCGAGTCACGAAAGCAAATTCAGCAGAAGCAAACCTGTAACTTGTGTCGATTCTCTTGGAGGATCCTTGCAGCACCAAGCAACATGGCAACATGAGCATCATGCCCACATGCATGCATTTTCCCAGGAACTTGACTCTTGTGTTCCCACTCCACCATTTCCTGCAATAAGCATGAGCATAGTAAGATTCAACAATTATTGACTTCCCTCAATCTCCTCTCCCCAAAAATCATCAAACCACATATGTTTTATAAATTAAAATGTAAATCGCATTTTATCATTCATCAGTAAAAAAACACAATTCCAAGAACATCACATTCATTGTTTCAAGAGCTACAAGAGCAATGGTGTGGACGGGATTAGATCACGTGTAGAGGTCACAGACTCACGCCTTTACCAACTAGCGTTTACCAACTAATCTACCACATCTATCCATAAAATATTTTAAATAACATCCATAAACAATTTATTATTCAACACCCATGTCCTACAATTATTACTAATAAACAATGAACATTAATGTTTCGTTCAATAAAAAACAATGAACATTAATGTAAAATTAAAAAGATAAAATATAAATAAATTACACAAAATTTCAATTAAAAATAAACAATCAAACAGTACCTCAATAGGAAGAGCATCCATATCAGCCCTCAAAGCCACAAATGGAGGTTCCCCAGTTCCAATAAACCCAAGAACACCAGTAACAGCAACTGGGTACTTGTAATTTATACCCAATTTATCCAATTCCTCTCTAATAACCCTACTAGTCTCAAATTCCTCAAACCCCAATTCAGGATTTTCATGTAATTTCCTTCTAATACCCACCATCCAATCAAAAACCTCAGATTTCTGGGTTTGATTAAGGAAAAACTTTGGGATCTCTTCAAGCTCATTTGAGGATAAAATTGACTCAGATTGTATGAAATTTACAAGAAAACAGTGAAGATTGAAGATTGCAAAAACCCATTTGGAAAAACCCATGATTTTGGTTTGGTTTTGTTTTGCAAAATGTTTAATGTTTGATCAAATAAATTCTGTATATAACATAACAAAGATTAAATTTTGTTTCTTGAGGTGGAATAGGGGACCAGATTCTATGGAGTTGGCGCACTTTAAACAGTAATTAGAGGAGAATAATAGGCTGAAATTAATAATGGTAGTAGAAAAGTTGATGAGGGATGTTTGATGGAGTTGAATAAATTATGTAGAAGTGGGTCATAGGAGTGGTAGTTTTTGTGAGTTGTGACTCAATTTTTTGATAGACTCTTCGCTATAGTTGCTTGAATTGTAGCATTTTTATCATGTGCTTGAATAAGTTGTTGAGATATTTTTATAAATTCTTTCCGTTTAAAATAATTGACACGTTAGACTTTTTATCATTCTTATGAAATAAGGAAATTTTGATTTTAATAATCCCAACTTTGATTTTCTTTAAATAATCCCAACTTTTGATTATTCTTGAATAATCTTAACTTATATAGGTATCTTCCTAAAATAATCCAAAGTGTTATTTTTTTTACTTTTGTTGATCCCTTTTGGGACTATTATGTAAAACAAAAATAAAACTTCGGATTATTATTAAAAGATACCTATATATGTTGAGATTATTCCAGAATAATCAA